TCCCTAATGTTTTTTTTTTTTTTTAAGTTATTTATTTAAGGTAGCAGAGCTTTGTCTGATGGGCTGTTATTCAAGAATTTTATTACAATTCCGTGCATATTTTGACATCTAATTCAATAATCAGCAGGTCATTTTTTTTGGTTATTTATTGAAGTAAGATTGCTCCTAGTGTTCAAATTAATGGCCCTTTAGTTGAGCTGTGGATTTAATGATAGATAACAAGTCTGCAACCAGATTATTTGTTTAGAATGTACTAGAGAGTATTATTGAACTACCATCGGAAAGAAGAATATAAACATCTTTGAAATTTCTTTTTGCAGTATGAGTTTATGTATGAGAAGCTTGTTTTTTTTGTCTCGTTTGCTTTCGTTGCAAATATTATCTAAGAATTTTCTTGATTAGGCACGCATAGTTTTGAAAAAGCTGCTGGATTATGAAGTTAGGTATTTGTTAAGATGAGTTGTACCCATATCACGGCTTTCCGTCTTACCGGTTCACCTCCTTCAAAGGCTTTTCAAATTCAACATAGTAAAACATCAATATGCCCGTCAACTTACCTGGGAACAAGGTTTCCCAAAATGCCCCTGAGATTTACATCTTCTACATCAAGGTACAAACGAGCCACAATTGTTTCTTTGTTTGGCAGTAAAGGGAAGTCCGCGGAGTCTGATAATTCGAATGAGGTAATTGTCTTGGTGAAAACTTACTATCCTTTTTTATGGTTTAAAAAGTCAAAAGTTATAATAGAATATTGATTCATAATTGCCGGAACGTGACTCGATCGACCTTTTTGCTATGGTGTGTTGATTCTGAATGAGAATCTTGTTTGTTTAGAACTATATTACTGTACTGAAACTTACTGGTTGATGCCCTTTTCTTTTCCTCTTTATTTTCCAGCAACGTGATGAAATGCTAGTTAACTATGTGTAAGAAAGATGGTATGAATTTAATCATGGAGAATATACTTCATGAAATGTTTCATTGTCAATGTGTTGTGCTATATTTGACGAATACTGTCTGATTGAACAGTAAATCTGTAATTTAGCTTATGTTGAAGAGAATCTGAACTGTGGCTGTGGCTGAAAGATCCCTGCTGCTGTTTAATTGCATGGAACCTTGTGTGCATGCTTGGATATAGATATATCCAAAAAAAATTCAATCCCAACTCAAAACTAAAACTCAATATTATCAATATAATTAATAATACCAATTAATCAACCTTAAACATATCACATCAACTTTAATTCCTTATTCATACTCTCACATAATTTTAACTACCCATCACTTTCAACCACCTCTTTCCCACTTTTACATCACATCAACAATTAATTATTTTAATACAAACTCAATATAATTATTTCCAAATAAGCCCGTTTTGCTCATTTCAATCCCAATGCTATGGTGAACTGTATTTATATATAATTGTGAAACCATTCACATTTCTCTTCCACTCCTCTTGCAACTGTCAAGGAAGTTATAGCTTCTCAATTGATTGTGTGAGGAAATTAAGTTCCGTTTATGAAATATACCAGGGTTCTCCATGGAAAGCTGTGGAAAAAGACATGGGAAATTTCAAAAAGAATCAGCCGATTGAGGAAGTTCTGAGGCAGCAAATCCAGGAACAAGATTACTATGATGATGGAGATAGTGGCGGCAATCATCCAGGTGGCAGCGGCGGCAATCGTCCAGGTGGCGGCGGAGGTGGCGGCTTTGGTGAAGGTGAAAAGAGAGAACGTAGGGGATTTTGGGATGAGCTTGGGCACAGTATTATGGCCACTGTGGGACTCATAATCATAGTACTTTCTCTACCTATAAAACTCTTCTCATTACATGAATTTGTTTGACAGGCCGAATTACATAAAACATTAACATAGGGCAACATAATTTTAAATTTTTTATTTTATTGCTATCTCTAACTTGCGCTTTTCGATTTTTCCAGTATATTTATATAGTACTTTCTCGACCTATAAAACCCTTCTCAATTGTTATCTATTCATGTTCACCTCATGAAAGTTCATTTTTTGTTTCTGTTTACTCCCATTTGGTATGAAATGCATATATCAACTGATGCATTTTTAACATGAGTTTGTTTAATAGGGCAACCGAATTTTTAAACTTTTACTTTATTTTGCTATCTCTAATTGGCGCTTTTCGATTTTTTCCAGTATATATTCATCCTTAAAGGTCCTGAGGATTTCAATGCTGTAGCAAAAGACGTGTTCGCGTTTATTTTCCTAAGGCGAAAGAGCCATCGTATAATGCCTGCCATTAATCTATGGAATACCTTCCTGGAGAATATGAAAAATAAGCCAGAGTATGAAGACCCGTTTTGGTTAGAGCGTACATTAATTAGTACCACGACTGATTATGACTCTCCCGAGAAATGGAAACGGCTGGTAGAGGAACTTGAGGATGAAGAAGAAGGTGAGTCTGATGATGATTTCTACTGACGTCAATAATATTTGT